TATGAACCAGAAATACCCGTCCGTCAATGCGTCTAGTGATGCACACTAAATCTCTATTTCTATTCGGCATACATCTAGATCGAATATAGGGGCTACGGGTCGTTGCGCTACTACTCGTGCCTCCCCACAAAATTGTCAAAGTTTTGACTTTTGGAGGGTATACAAAAGTATACCCTCCATAGGGAGGAGTGTATAATAAATTTGTCACCAGCAATATTTACCAGAAATCCCACAAGGGGGATATACTATGTATATTCTTGATCAGAATAAAATTTTATGTCGAATTACGCATGTCCGCCTGTCTGTCTTTTGAAATTACGTTAGAGATCACAATATTTGAGATATAGCTCTGAAATTTTGCACAGCAACTTCTAGTATACCTAGCATGTTTGATATTGCAAATGGGATATATCGGTCTATGTTTTGGTGTAGCCCCCATATAATGGTACCCACCGAGTATTCGGTATTTTGGGAATGTTGGTCAAGTTCTCTTATAACCAATCTCCGTACTAAAAATTATTATTAATATTGACCCAGGTTTCAGGGAAGCCCCCATATCACGTAAAACCCCAAGTATTCGGTATTTTGGAATCTTTTCAACCGAAATGGCTATAATTTGGTATTTTTTATTCGCATTGGGTGTCAATTTTGGCCCTATTTACGAGGATATATGTTTTTTCTTGGCGGAACTAGCAGATTATTTATTTTTATTTGATTCCTTTACAACTTTTGAAATTACCCGGTTTTTTTTACTCGGTAGTTTTCTCTAACACTAATTATGGGGATATATTTTTTTCTTGGGGGAAATACCCGGTTATTTGACTCGGAAGTTATCTCAAACCGTTTGGGAGATACAGTCAAAAATCGGGGTTTGAACACGGATCAGATTTTTTTTGAAACTTTTTCCAGAGGTAGGTATTTTTACCATATTTGTGAGGATATATTTTTTTCTTAGCGGAACTACCCGATATATATTTGTGAGAATATATATTTTTTTCTTGGCGGAACTACCCGATTACACAAATGAAATTTCCTAATTTTCCAAGTAATGTTGCGATCTCAAACCGTTTGGGAGATACAGTCAAAAAACGGGTTTTAATTTGTTCCTTTCCAAATATGGATCACAAGATATTAGTCATAGAATCCTACAAAAACAAGGAAATTCTCTCCTGTAACCGGAATGGTTGTTTTTTTCAGTTCTTCGGCTTGTTTTTAATCCACTCTCCTATAGACAGATACCAACACTGGCTACGTGACAGACGCTCATTTTAAATAAAATATATTTTGGTTGGGCGGCCTTCTGCCGGGATTTTCACATATGGATAGATACCAACATCGGCTACGAGAAAGAGTTTCCTTGATTTTGTAGGGTTCTAAGGTCCATCTCTTCTGAAAGGTATTTCTGTAAACTTTAAAATGACACCCATATTGTACTAATCGCATCCGTAGAAGCAGGTATAACCGGGTACTTTTACACGAAGTTTCGGGTCAAGTAACCCGGTACGTGAAATGTATTTATATAAACTTTAAAATTATCACATTTTGTATTAATCGTATCCGTAAAACCTGGTATAACCTCATACCAGAACCTCTGGGCGAAATAACCGGGTAACCAGGTACGTCTCACACACCCACGATCCACATATCAATATCTAGTAAAAAAAAAAACAGGTACGTCTCCCAAGAAAAAAAATGTATCGCCATAATCAGGGTAAAAATATATCTATATCTGGATAACATTTAAAAAAAATCTGATCATTTTTACTAGAGTCAAGCCTAATGATTTGGCAAAGAAATATGTATGTACATCCAAGAAAGAAACACCCACACACACACACCTACATATCAAAATCTAAAAAAACGAGTTATAACAATTATTTTGCAAAATAATTTTCTTCCTAAAAAAATATATTTAAAACAAACATTCCATTAAAAAAAAAACCGGAAGAAACCTACTTACATGTTTCAATTTACAGCTGTGGAATTTTTACGGCCTAATGGGTTTCTTTCTGAAATAATGGAATGACAAAGTTGGAATCTAGTTTGGAAGGGAAATATGTTTAACAGAATGAAGAAAAAAACTATTAACAAGTTGAGTTATGGAGTTATTTGACGCGTTACATACACGTTCATTCACGCATCAACGGTAATTACCCAGTAGTAGAGTAGTAGTTGTTGTAACAGCAGCAGCAACGACAAGACTTTGTCAACACAAAGTCGTTTGTGTGAGTGTATGTTCAGTTTTTTTGATAAGAGGCAAACGAAAAAAGTACCAACTGCCAAAGAAGAAGAAGTGGGTGGTGGGGGTCTAGGCATTTCAAATAATCAACAAAGAAAAAAATATGATGGGGTAGGTCAAGGGTTAAGAAAACAATGAACTTTTGATCAAGCAAGCACACATCAAACAATCAAGCTCACACACACACACACACATAGCACTCATGCATTGCATTTTCCCCCTTTAAAAAAATGACAACAGCAATTATCAAAGAGAATGTGAGTACGGAGAAAAAGAACTAAGATGTCAAATGTCATCGAAATCATAAACATGCACACACACAGCAAAACTAACTAAAATCTTGTTTTTGTTTGCTGTTTCCTTTTTTATTGCCAACAACAAAAATTAAACTGTAACAAGATAAGACAAGATTTTACTTGGAAAAGAAACAAAAAATACAGACAAGGATTACAAAATCCCAGCAACTGGATTTCATTAGAAACAAGTGTGATATAATTTTGGAGCCAGACACAGAAATAAACGAGCATGAATGGACGGACAATTTTAAAACGAGTTAATTATGGCAAAGCACACAGTAAAAAAATAAAACTAAGGCAAATTGCCACACAAAACTGCCACGAAAAACCATAACAAAATGTAAGTTAACACAAAAAATAAAAATTGGCACCATGAAAAAGGAGAGGAAAAAAATCAAACACACACACACAAAAAATGTAATCCTCTAATGGTGGCCTATGAAATCAACAAAACAAAAAAATCAAAATCTGGTATTTGTTTTTTGTTTTCTTTATTATTATTTTTTGTTTTTGATACATTGTAGAGACGCCCCCCTAACATGGCTAACACATCACATTCACACACACACACACCGGTCATTGGACAATAAATGGAACATTTCCAATTGTGTTTGGTTATTTATTATTGACACTTATTAATTATACCTTTATTCATTAATTTATATATAATATAGATACATTTATTTTTTTTTTACACAAAATTTTTATTTTCTATTCATTAAGATAATCAATATCACCATTTCACTCTTTTTGTATTTATAAGAAGAAAACTATTTTGCAACTGACATTTGCAACTCACCCACCAACCGAACGGTATACGCGTAAATTGTTTGTCACATTCAAAAAAAAAAAAACATCAACACGAAAAATAACCCCACTTGTGAACACTAACAAAGCATATAACAAAATAAACTTAATATCATTAACTGCTTGTTGTTTTGTACGACGATACGATTTTTGTTTAACTTGACTGGGCTTGATTTTGTTTCGGTTTTTTTTTCTTCTAATTTGTTGTTTTCTTTTCGGCTTACTTCTCCTCTAATAAATAAAGAAGGCTTGCTCTCACTTACTCTGTTATTTTCCCTCACTGACAAGTCGGTGTTCTCTCTCTCTCTGTGTTGTACACTTGCACTGCCTGCTCGCACTCTCTCTGTTATAGACTTTTATAATTACTTTTTTTTGGTTTCTTCTCCTTTTATATATTTTTTGTTACACTTTTTATGTTTTATTTTTTTTTTGTTTCTATTTCTTTTTGCCTTTTTCCCTTTACCATTGATATGGAGAAACGAAACGAAAAAAATGTTGATTGGTTTCTTTACTTTTTTCGTTTTGTATTTTGCTATTTTCTTTAGATTAATAATTTCAACACTACACTCCTTATTTTCTTTTTATGGAATATTTATAAATGGTAGTGATGAAATGCAATTTATTCCTTGGATTTTTCTAATTCACATTTTCGGCACTTATTTCATTTTTCTACGGTTGTATGCAATTTTTTACACTCTTCATTATTCTTTAGCAGGACGACGACGACTGACTTTTGGAGTAATCGAAATGAAACACAATCGAAAAAAACGTCATTCACCGGAGAATGATGACGCCGTTGCAAACCACTGAAATGTGATAACGTTGAGGTTTTGTTCTTCTGCGAAACAATGTTTCCGTTGATGTTTATCGCGTTTGATTGGTTTTGAAATTCAAATTTTATTTTTCTGAATCTGACAAAAGGCCATATACAGGACTTTCAAATACGTGGTATATTTTGGTAAAAACAACAACAAAAAAACTAATAAAATACCTGTGAAATAAACAATATCGATTACTGACTACAAAAAATATAATATAATCTGATCGAAGAAGTCAATTCTTTATGGAATATGGATCTAAAAGTTGTACTAGGACCCTTGTTTTTGAAAAATTAACTAAGGCAATATGGGTATCAATTTAAAGCGATTCAAATACTGATTAAAAAATGTATATATCATGGCAACATCTGCTATATGTGGGGATCGCTTAACTTGCGACTTTAAAATTAAACTAGAAGGGTCATCGGTTGATAAGACAGTTATATGACAAGATCCGCCCTAGATTGAAGAATTTCCGGTAAAAAGTTCAGCTTTACGGAAGCTTATATTTATCAAGATAATTTATTTATATATTTTTAATTTGTTATATACAACACCATTTAAAAATTGAAAAAAAAAAACAAATACATATTAGTTACACAGCATAAAATCTAAAAAAAAAAACACATTAAAATTATCCAAAAATATAAGAAAGTACAAATATTCAGATTTATAGTTTCGAAAATATTAAATGCACATTATTTCACAGGGTCAGTCAAAATATAAAACTCTTTTCATTTGGTATGTTCCAACACTGCACCAATCTACTTATTTTTCCTTTATGATATCGAAAAAAGTAGTATATTATTGCAGTGCGGAAACATACCTCATTCTAAACACTTTTATGCCGCATATTCCTTTAAAATTTGCCCGGCAATAACCAAACGCTGAATTTCCGATGTACCCTCATAGATTTCGGTGACACGCGCATCACGATAATAACGTTCAGCTGGCATATCGCTTACATAACCCATGCCGCCCAAAACCTGAATACACTGATGACTACAATAGGTGGCCGTCTCCGATGCAGCTAATTTAGCCATCGAAGCTTCTTTGGTATATGGTTTACCGTTATCCTTTAACCAAGCCGCACGCCATGTCAGCAAACGAGCCGATTCCACCCGCAAAGCCATATCGGCAATTTTTTGTTGTATAGCTTGCAATTTTGAGATGGGTTTACCAAAGGCAATTCTCTTTTGCGAATAGTCCACAGCTAATTCCAAAGCGGCTTGAGCAATACCCAAAGATTGTCCCGCAATACCAATACGTCCACCATCTAAACATTTCATGGCAATTTTAAAGCCGGAACCTAAACCACCCAATATATTCTCTTTCGGCACAATGACATCTTCAAAAATCACCTGACTTGTCGATGAACCACCCATACCCATTTTATCCTCCTTCTTTCCACGGGCAATACCCGCGCTATCCATTGGTACAAAGAAGGCTGTAATGCCTTTATGTTTGAGTGACTTATCGGTGGTGGCAAATACCACAGCCACAGAAGCCTGATAGGCATTAGTAATCCAAGCTTTAGTACCATTCAGCACATAATGATCACCCTTGTCAACGGCAGTGGTTGTAGCTGCTCCAGCATCTGAACCATTACCGGGCTCGGATAATTGAAAGCAGGCGATCTTCTCACCCGTTGTATAGGGTGTAACATATTTGTGTTTTTGTTCGTTGCTGCCAAAGGCCATAACCGAACCCAAATAAAGATTATTTACCGCCATAATAACACCAGCAGAGGCGGAACCTCTTGAAATTTCTTCCATAGCAATGGCATATGCTAGATAATCTAAGCCGGGACCACCTACAAATTAAAAAAACACACACACACACAAATCCCAATTAATTCAAATTGGAGGCATTTTATGTTATTATAGACATACCAAATTCCTCTGGCACGGCAACGGACATAACACCCAATTCACCCATTTTTTTAATCTGCTCTTCGGGATACAAACGTTCCCTATCAATTTTACCGGCAACTGGCACCAATTCGGCATCGGCAAAATCACGACAAGTCTTCTGCAGCATTTGATAGGTTTCCGGCAGGGCAGATAAGCAGGCAATGTGGCGGGATTTCAAATGCTGCACGGCCTGGCGTTGAAGACGAAGACCTGTTGAAGAATGGAAAAGGTTTAAAGAAATAGCATACATTTGAAAATCATGTCGATAACAAGTTTTTTTAAAGAGCGAATATTTCCGATAACATTACTTGTTATAGAAAATGCTCTCAATAACAGTGCTTTCAATAGAAAAAGTTGTCGATAACAATATTTTCAGTACAAAAAGTTGTCGATAACAACGTTTCATATAGAAAAAATTGTCGATAAGAATGTTTTCTTTAGAATGCAGTCGATAGCAATATTTTCTGTAGAAAAATTAGTCGATAACAATATTTTATATAGAAAGAGTTGTGATTACAATATTTTATATAGAAAGAGTTGTCGATTACAATATTTTATATAGAAAGAGTTGTCGATAACAATATTTTCTATAGAAAATGTTGTCGATAACAATATTTTCTATAGAAAATGTTTATATAGAAGAAAATTGTCGATAACAATATTTTATTTTTTAACTGTATTTTATATAGAAAAAATTGTCGATAACAATCTTTTCAATAGAAAAAGTTGTCGATAACAATCTTTTCTATAGAAAAAGCTGTCGATAACAATCTTTTCTATAGAAAAAGTTGCCGATAACAATTTTTTCTTTAAAAAATTGTCGATAACATAATTTTTAGTTGAAAATATTGTCGATAACATAATTTTTAGTTGAAAATATTGTCGATAACAAAATTTTTAACTGGAAATTTTGTCGATAACAATTTCTATTGCAAATGTAGGCAGGCGATAATAATATTTTCTATAGAAAATAATATTGATAACAATTTTTTATATAGAAAATTCTATATAAAATCATGTGCACATATCGTTAACAACAATCTCTATTGAAAAATGCAACATCTAATTATAAAATTTGGAGTGTAACGGCAATGTAACTGACGCTTTGTTATATTTTTTTAATGTTAAACAATATACCTAACAAATCCTTTTTTTATTTTTTGAAATAGCAAAAACAAAATTTTTTTAAACTAATTATAGAACGAATTCTTATCGCTACATTTAATTAACTTATCTATTGAATATTAATGTGTTTTTTTGTTTGCCAGAATTATGCAAATGGTAAATATGTTTAAATGTGTGTATATGCGTTCGTGTGTGGTCACCATACAAAGTGTTTACATTTCATTTCTTCAATGTTAATGTCAAGCATCTGAACTTTGTATTTTTATACTATAAAAAGCATAATTTAATATTTTAATTGTATTTAAAACTTACCAACAGTTGTAGATGTTTTAAAAAGGTTCAACATTTTATATATTTTTCGTATTTAATGTTTAATTTCAATTAAAGTTCCAAGCTATTGGTTTAGCGATCTTCAGTGTGTTTGATAACACAGATTTAGGGATATATAGGTCGACTTTCGACAATGGTTAACATTAACATAAAAGAAATTAACATGATCAAAGGCTTGGAGTTGCCACTTACATTGAAATATTGATCAATTGTGGAAACATAAATTAGTCGATTGGGTATTTTTTAAAGATAGAAAATATTATCGATATATATTTTGTTTAATATTCAAGAGTAAAATATAACATTGAAATTATTTTCTACAGAAACTTTTGTTATCAATTCGATGTAATATCTTTAAAAAATATGGTTATCGGTGTTCTATTGAAAATTATGTTATCGAAAATATGTTCCATCTAAAATATAGTTATCGAAAACTTTTGATATAGAAAATGTTGTTATCGACATATTTTATCAATCAATAATACAGTTATAGACAACTTTTTATATAGTTAAGATTGTTATCGATTAATTTGCCAACAATAATATATTTATTGACAAAGTTTTTTTCACTGAACATTAGGCTTTCGCCAGCATTTTCTTTCGAAAATATAGTTATCGAAGTCTTTTTTATTGAAAACAGTGTAATCGATTACATTTTTTTATCAAAAATACAGTTATCGACAAGGTTATCTTTTGAAAATTATATTATCGACAAAATTTGCCATCGATAATATAGTTATCGAAAAAATTTTCCATCAAAAAACCAGAGTTATAGACAACTTTTTATGTAAGTAAAATTGTTATCGATAAAATTTTCTACAAAATTATGGTTGTAGTTTCCATAAAAACTACAGTTATAGATAACTCTCAAAAACTAATTGTTATCGATAAAATTTTCTATAAAAACTATAGTTATCGACAAGGTTTTTCTATTGAAGATAATATTATCGACGACATTTTCCATCGAATATAATTTTATCGACAATTTGTATATAGAGACATTGTTATCGATAAAATTTTCTATCATAAATATAATTATCGACAAGGTCTTCCACTGAAGATAATATTATCGACAACATTTTTCATCGAATATAATGTTATCAACAACTTTTTATGTGGAGAACATTGTTATCGATAAAATTTTCGTTCAAAAATATTGTTATCGAAAAGGTTTTCTGTTGAAGATAATATTATCGACATAATTTTTCATTTAATATAAAGTTATCAACAACTATTTATGAAGAGAACATGTTAATCTATAATATTTTCTATAAAAAAATATAATTTTCGATAAGAGTTTCCATTGTAAATTTTTGTTTTCACCAACATTTTCATTCGAAAATATAGTTATCAACAACTATTGATATAGAAAACATTGTTATGGATAACATTTCCTATCAAAACTATAGATATGGACAATTTTTGTAGTTGAAAATTATATCATCGATAACATTTTCCATCAAAAATACATTTGTATATAGAAAACATTCTTTTCGATAACATTTCCAATCAAATATTTATTTACTGACAAAATTTTTGATCATTTTTTATATAGAAAAACCATTGTTATCGACAAGGTTTTTAATTGAAAATTCTTGGTCCGTTCCAGAACCTGCAATAATGTAAAATGTTTACTTCGATAACAATTTTTCATTTACAATAGTAAACATTTGTAAATTCTTGCAGTACGGGAACAGACCAATGTTATTGACAATTTTCTATATGGAAAACATTGTTATCGATAAAAATTGCTATAAAAAATATAATTTTAGATAATGTTTTCTTCAAGAAATATTATTATAGGTACAATTTTCTAATAAACGATTTGTTTTATTGCAAATGTTTATCGTTCTTTCTGTTAAAATTTTTTTTGCTACTAAATTTTGCTTGGCAATTGAATATTATAAGACGACATTTTTTAAAACAATCTTAAAAATTTATTTACAATTACAATTTGTTTTGATCTTACAATCTAATAAAAAATATAAATTTTCGGTGATAGATCCATTTATAAATGCATTTGAAAATCGCTGGGTTCTCCTTAAAAAAAATTACAATGATTTCACGGAACATCAATTTGTTGCACAATGAGGCACATCGACAGATATTTTGAATTACTACTTGTTCTTCTCCTCCTCCTTCTTTTTTAGGCAGCATATTCTTTAAGTATGGCACCAGCTGTTACCAAACGTTGCACCTCCGAGGTACCTTCATAGATTTCCGTAATACGAGCATCACGATAATAACGTTCAGCGGCCATGTCGCTGACATAACCCATACCACCCAATACCTGAATACATTGATGACTGCAGAAAGTGGCAGCTTCAGAGGCAGCCAACTTGGCCATAGCAGCCTCTTTGGTGTATGGCTTGTCGTTGTCCTTCAACCAAGCAGCACGCCATGTCAACAAACGAGCCGATTCCACTCTCAAAGCCATATCGGCAATTTTCTGTTGAATGGCTTGCAATTTGGAAATGGGTTTACCGAAAGCAATTCTCTTTTGCGAGTAATCTACAGCGAGTTCCAACGAAGCTTGGGCAATACCCAAAGCCTGACTGGCAATACCAATACGACCGGCATCCAAGGTTTTCATGGCAATTTTAAAACCATAACCAGGTTTGCCCAAAATGTTCTCCTTGGGGATGACACAATCTTCGAAAATCAATTGACAGGTGGACGAGCCGCGTATACCCAGCTAATCTTCTTTTTTGCCCAACGAGAAACCTTTGGTATCTTTGGGTACAATGAAGGCGGAAATGCCTTTGTGTTTCAGGGATTTATCGGTGGTGGCGAAAACAACAGCTGCCTTGGCCTCGTAGGCGTTGGTAATCCAAGCTTTTGTGCCATTTAGAACGTAGTGATCGCCCTTGTCAACGGCTGTGGTGGAGGCGGCACCAGCATCAGAACCATTACCGGGTTCGGACAAAGCAAAACAGCCGACAATATCACCAGTTGTGTATGGGGTAATGAATTGTTCCTTTTGTTTGGCATTGCCGAAGTTATCGATTGGTCCTAAATACAGGGAGTTGTTGACAGACATAATGACACCGGCCGAGGCACAGCCTCTTGAGATTTCTTCCATGGCAATGGCATAGGCCATGTAATCGAGACCAGTACCGCCTATAAAAATAGAGAAAAAATATTAAAATTATTTGTAGAATTTTAAAAAATGTGTAATTGACATTACCCAATTCCTCGGGTATGGCCACAGCCATTAGACCCAATTCACCCATTTTCTTAATTTGTTGTTCGGGATACAAATGTTCACGATCACATTTGGCCGCATTGGGTACCAATTCGGAATTGGCAAAATCACGACAGGTTTTTTGCAACATTTGATGGGTTTCGGGCAAGGCCGAGAGGCAGGCAATGTTTCGGCTACATATTTGTTGCTGTAATGGGCGACGAAGACCTGTGAAAGAAAAAAGAATAAGAGATTATTATTAAATGATAAAAAATATTATTGGAATGTAATGTGTTGGGCAATATTTACTTTAGAGACTAGACAACTATTGGATCTATAGCGACTATCATTCCATAACATCTTCATTGTTGAGTTTATTTTTTTACCGAATGTGTCAATTAAATGATAAGCAGCATAATAACCATTCTTAATTAAGGAAAATTTCCACACATGTATGTACATACATACTGATTTTAATTAACAGCCCACAGTAGACAAAAATAATCCATTTTCTATAGTCGAGTAGTGTTCGCAGATAAGGTGGATGGATCGACTGACGGACAGACTATGCTGATAAATTATATCTGATTAAAATATTGAAATCGTGTGTTGAGATGTTCTATATCTTGTTCGCTTATTATGGTCGATAAGAAGAAAAAATAGATTTATGTATTTATAATCCACAAGTAAACAATGAGATCCACAAAATTTTCTATTAAAAAAAAAATTATGTGATCCACTAAATTTGTAAAGCAATAACCAAAATAAAAACAAAATTAGTTTCCAATAGGAACATTTTGTGTGGAACATAATATTTTCTATAGAGAGAAAATTTTGGTGGAACACATTATTTTCTCTATAGAGAAAATTTTGTGTGGAACACAATATGACTAAATCCACATAGAATTTTTGTCTAGTATTCTTTAAAAATCCACAAGGGCCAATAATTTATGATCAACTCAATTTTCATGGTAACAAAATGCTCGCGTTGAGCCATCCGTCGCGTTATATTTTATCGAAAATACAACAAACACAAGGAAACGATATGCGTTTGTGTTATCGTTTCCTTGTTGTATTTTCGATAACATATAACGCGACGGATGGCTCAACGCGAGCATTCTGCTTAGCCCTTTAATGATCGCTGGTTAACATACGCAAGAATTTGCTCTTTCAAAACATGCTGAACCATTTTTGAGAGTATTGGCATTATCGATATCGGTCTATACTCTATTACATGCATCATTACTTTTACGTATAGGCACAATTTTCGCTATCTTCCAAACCATAGGAAAAACAGACACTTGTATAATGGTATTTACAACATGCAACAAATGACGTTTCAATAAAAGAAACACAAGTTTCAGAAACTTAAGCTGAAAACCATTATACCCTACAGCTTAAGACTTAATCTTACTGAACGCATCTACAATCCAATTTCAACAAAATCAACATTAGGAAAACCCATCATAAACACCCTCAGGAACACACGAAACCTCAAATGGATCAACAGATTGATTAGACACAAAATCAAAATTCAGTCGATCAACATCTACATTATCCACTTCATTGTCATTCTCTTATATTCCACTCTTATTCAAAATCACCCATAAATCTTTTGTTTTTTATTGGCAAACATATCTCTGTGGGCTACGGCTTTAAGTCTCCCAATAACCTTCTTGGCTCTATTATGTACTCTACAATAAATTCTCCAATTTTCTACACTTCTATGCTTTATACGCCATATCTCTTAATGACATATGATAACATATATCTGGAGACTTAAACCAAACATTCCTATCAGTTCTACCAATTCACAGTTGTTTAGGTTGGAACCTATTCCAGCCCCATATTAACTTGGGATACATTTTTATGGCGTTTTGAGGTCGCCATTTTTTTTTTTTATTATTGTTAATTTTTGCATTCATCCAATTTAATTTTATCCATTAAACTTCCACACAATTTTTTTTAATGATGACAACAACAAAACAGCTTGCCTAAAATCACGGAAGAGCACACACGGGAACTAGGATCTTCAAACTCCAAACACAATTATATATTAACAATATTCTTATCCATATCAAATATCCACTCAATTTTTGATATACCATTTTTTTGGGGGGCGATCCACAAGATAACGAACAACACATGTGTGCTGAAAGACAACTAATTTTTTGCATGGCATGCGGATTGAGTGGCGACAACAACAAATAATAGAAAACTTCTTGCGTAACTGGCCTGGTTTGGCAAACATTGGAGCTAGGTTCCTGAGCAATGGAACCTAATTATAAGACTGGAACTTTGTAAGGTGAACACATAAAATAGAAAATATCGAAGGATATTTTACAATCAGGGCATTTGATAGTGCCTTGGAAAAAAGAAAGACATGTTTGTAATAGTTGTATCTGCAACGTTTATAATTGTATCTGCAACTCTAACGAAAAGTGTTACATCCCACAAAAATGACCTATGGAAAATTTCCACTGTGTTGTGTAGTTCCACAGCAACAATTGTTTTTATATTTATATATATGCAGATGTGTTGTAATAATTGGAAAAAAATATATAGAGAAAAGAAACTCTACACAGCAGTTTTTTTTAAGACAGAATAAAAATCATGACACTATTTGCATCCTTTTGCCACCATCTATCCTTTAAACTATTTGCATCGATTAAATCCTAAATCCTTTTATCCTAACTAAATGCAAATGAGAAAAAACAACAACTATTAATAATGGACTTTGGCCATATGTAGACTGTAGGCACAACTTCCTTTTTTATCGTTGACAGCAACAACAACAACCAAACAACTTACCCAATTTCACTGATGAACTCAAAACTTTAAACATTTTCGTAGAGCTTAAATTCGATACTATATATATTTAGAAAAATAGATTATTGGACCTAGAAACCGCAATACAGCAACTGATTGAGCCCAACTACCGGTAACAACTGAGACGAAATGTCTTCTTCTTTTGATTTAATGAGCGGCAGTGCCAATGATCAAATCATTGTATTTTTGGAGAGAGGCGGCCAATCTCACACCATTTGCTCAATTTAAAAAAAAAGATAAGACATTAATAATAAGTATGTTATTGTTGTTGTTATTGGTTTTTTTAATATTAAACAATGTATTTATTTATTTTGTTGTTGTTGTTTTTTTTCTTTTATTGTCTATATTTGCAAAACAAATGACAACAGGTTTTGGTTGCAATTAGTCAGTTGACGTAATGTAACGTAACGTTGGCATATCATGTCATTTCTAGTAGTCAAAGAGATGCCACACTGTGATATGGCATCTCTGAAATGACAAAAATGTAAAAATAAATAAAGTCCACCTTCTTCATGCTCCGGCAGAACATATATTAAAATTTAGAACGATAAAGAGAAGAAAAAGCTCACCAGTGACTACTGTGTTGTGCGTTGCACTAGTTTCGTGCAATTATACGTAACGTATCGTAACTAATGTAAAAAAGCCCACCAGTGACTACTGTGTTGTGCGTTGCTCTAGTTGCATGCAATTATTCAAATACGTAACGTATCGTAACTGATGTAAATAAATGTTAACAGCATTATCGACAAAATATTTAATGTGGAATTTTTTAAGTGAAGAAAAGTGTTTATTATTAAAAAAATATGGTTGTAATAAATCAAAATATTTTCTTTAAATATATTTTATAGCTTACATTTTAAGTTCTTTATTGTGACATGTCAACTAAAATCAGCTGTTAATGTAGTTTTTTTTTACACATGATCGAGATAAAAATTACGAATATATATTTAAGATCTGAAGAATTTTGAAATAATTTTTTTAAGGTTATGGTAACCACTAGGGATACTTCGAGGATAATGTTGTTTTGAACAATTATGTCGGTAACATAATATCCACTCAAAATTAGTCAACTGTTTATTTATTTTCTTACACGTGATCGAACAAAAGAATTTTGAACGTATATTCTAATGATAAAACTGTTTTGGTAAACACTAGGGATAATTACTCCGACGATAACATTGTTTTGAGCACACAAAATTACACCGCATTGAAGAGATTTCGGATAGAAGAGTTCAGTATAACAGTTTGATAGCTGTTTGTTCATGATCATTATTATCGACAATGGATGGCCGATAAAACTGTTGATATTAACTGTTCCTGTTTACAAGAAGAATCTTCTAAAGAATTTGCGACACACCCATCAGGACATTAGGTACTGATAAAGGTATAATAAAACAAAAAACCTAAAAATGGCCCCATAAAACGTCAATTAAATAATTTATTGAGGGCTGGTGTTTCCACATAAGTCAATGAAAGATTGTGTTCGGATATTCCGATTCATATGTCAATAGAGATTTTCTTTAGAAAATAACTATGACCTTTTATGTTCTTAGGTTTATTATCTTCTTTTTATAAAAATAAGATTTATTTTATTTCCGAACAGACAAACACTTTCATTTTCTTTAATAAAAAGACAAATGTTATAATTTTGAATCAAATATTTTTTTTCTGTAAGATATATACAAATTTATGTGATGTAGGTATAAACACATAATAAGTACCATAACAATTTTCAAAAAAATAAAAACGACATACTAAAATTAAAAGGAAAAATAGTAATAAAATACTTGTCATGTTTTTGGATTTGTTTAGCAGTGAAGGAGTTGAAGAGGATATCTATTTAAGGATCATTAAAAAAATAAAACTATTTTTAAATTCATTTTTTTTCAATAAAAAAGTGATCATAAAATATTGATTCGAGCTACAGTTTAATTGATTGTAGTCATGGTTATTGAGTCAATATTTTCTATAACAATAAATAATTATTATAACTGTAATTTTCACGAAAAAAAGAAAATCCAAAAACATTTTTTTTAATTAAGTTTTACACACCATCTTCATTTTCAAAGACAAAAAAACCAAAGCAAAAACAAAAATCTAATAAACAGAATTGAACTAAAACTTATTTACTAAGTAATCAAGTCAATCATAACCCTAAACCTTATTGAAGATGGTGGTAGGTAAATAGGACAACAAAACTTAATTATAATTTTTTATAAAAAGGAAAAAATGCAATAAAATTAAGTTTATGTCCAGATAAAAGCCCGTTCGAGGAGCATTTTGAATATTTTTACTATTAGTAATAATAGAGACCTTAATTGCAACTATATAATTTATTTCTTACGGATACGACTGTCCGAAATTCCTCGACCGGGTCGTTAATCAGACTTGTTCCCAAAGCAAAGTTTTGTTTTTGGGTCTTCTTCTAATCATCGCCAAAATAAAATACACCCATAGACCAGATCAGACTCGAATTTGTTTCTATTTCAATTAGCGTTGAGGCATAGGTATTTGAAGTACTAACTAGGCCGCCAAAAAATGTCTTGCCATGGGCTGTAAAATTAAAAAAAAAAAAAATATTATTTTTTTTTCCAAAAGAAAACGAATTCTAATTAGAAAATGAACTTACTTAAATTCCATTTCAAACCCTTTGTTGTGACATTTGTAGCCTCCTGGCCAATTGGTAATAGGGAACACCATCTTTGTTCCTCAACCAAATGTGTGGGTATAACAATGGAATGCTTGCCTGGCCTGAGCAGCCATGTTAAGGAACAGGAACCGAATAAGTAAATATTACAGAATTCATCATTCCTGGTATAGAGGGTATTTATGTTGGACATAATTTGATCGAATCGACCGGATGTGTCATGTAGTACTATAATATCACGTAACTGAAAAAGAAAAACAAACATACACACATTTAATACAAATTCCAGAATCAACTACCCCGCCACATTACCTGTTTCTCCCTGAGCATAGGTTTCAGAACATCTACAGCCTTTGTAAAATCCGTATTATTTTGATCGGGAGTATGTATTCTTCTGACCCCCCGCGACGTGAAATATTCCTCCGTTTCTCGGCATATTGAATCGAAATCACCCGTAATTAAGTCTGGCAGTTGAATATCGTCATCGTCATTTTTCAATTCCGTTCTAAGAAAATTCAACCATTTATTTGTGCCGCCATCCACACAACATCTTATGGAAGCTACAATTAAATAAAAAACAACAACAAAATGGTTTACATAATAACAACACTAACGTATTCTTTGTTTTAATGAATGAATGATTTGATTGATTTTAATTGTCGCTCAACGATTTGTTTGTGTTTACCAACCAACCATTATTCCACAAGGCCTTAACAACATGTGATGGACTTTTGATATTACGATTTAACACCAAACACCCGTGTCCGAGTCCACCAGCTAGATATGGTTCGCTGAGAATGGCTGTAGGATCCCAATGGCAAACGCTGTCGTTTGGCTGCTCTTCGGTATTGCCTCCATTTGTCCCACTGCAATTGTTTAACATTCCCAGGCTGGTGCAGCTGCAGTTCTGCTTGAGTTCGCGTTTGAAAAACAAGAAGACAACGACAAGAAACAAATGGCCGATAAACGTGCAGAATCAAAACAAAATAAATGTGCACAATGTCAGAGGGTTATGCAAAATCGACTTTGAATTAATAAACAGCTGACTACGGAATTGTGGTTAGGTATCACGAGATACGAAATTATAATAAATAAAGCATATAACTTAAGCCCTTGTTACACGAGCCATCAATGTCATATGTACTGTCAAATTTTACATATATAAGAATTGAACATGTCGTGTGGCCCATGTTTGAACGATATGACAACGCATATGTGAGCATATTCAAGACATACATGGTCTGTTCCCGTATTGCAAGAATCTACTAGATTTTACTATTTTCTTCGATATCATAAAGGAAAATTCATTATCGTAGTAAAAAGTAGTAGATTCTTGCAGTACGGGAACAGACCAACAATCGTAAAGACTCGACGCATTTTCCAATATTAGTGTCAAATTTGTGTTATAGAGGGCTACACATTTTAATAGAAAATTCATTTTTTGATGTTCTCTCACCAAAAAATACTTAACAGCAATGTTAATTATTTTGAAAAATATGGTAACCAAAGTGAAGTTTGAGATTGTATGAAATGAAATTATTATTTTTTTCGAGTTTTTTTTAAAGAATTTAAATCAATTGCCGTCTTCCCCTGGTCGAAAATGGTATTATGAATGTTGGTACACCGATTTGTGTGCCGAGCAAGGAGTTTATAGATATATTGGCATTGTCACCTCAATCAAATCAAATCACAAGAAATTGGAATCGGCTCGCAAAGGTCAAGAGATTTGGGTTAAAATTGAACCCATACCCGGTGAATCACCAAAAATGTTTGGCCGTCCTTTTGAAGCTGATGATATGTTGGTCAAGGTCTCGATGCTTGCAAGGATTACTTCCGTGATGATTTAATTAAGGCTGATTGGGATCTAATGCTTGAACTGAAGAAACTTTTCCAAATTTTATAAATTGTTTATAAATTTTTAATTTTTTGCAATATATTTATTTCCTGCTGATGTGAATGCATCAAAATTATAATGCGGATTCAAATAATGACCCATGAATACAACAACAACAATGCTTTCATTATACCCTACACAAGTATGTTGTCAGGGTATTATAGCTTTGTGCAGCCCCAAGAGTTTGTAACGCCGCGAAATGTTGGTCTCCGATCGTCATATCCCGCCAAGCTGAGTCGATCTAGACATGTGTGGCCGTCCATCTGTCTGTCCATTATTATTTATAAACACGATACAAGCCACAGTTATGGACCAATCTTCACGAAATTTTGCATGTAGGATGGGTTGTGGCCAATGAAGACCCCTGGTCAAGGACAGCGCCTATAATTTTCGGTGATGATCAGATAATAATTTTGGGCTGAAACCGACCACAAAAAAAAAATGTTTTGTGTTTTTTACGAGTCGATCTATAGGCCACAGGCCGAATAGCACAACGCAATCCACGGTGAAGGGAATTTGGACAAGCAATTAGAAGGGCTGTACTGAATATTTGTAATATTTGTTGACCTCTAGTCGGTCAAGAGGGTTCAAATATTGCTCAAGCTCAGAATATAGAACTACAGGAATTCAAATTTTCGTTGAAGTTGTGTAGGGTATCATATGATCGGCCCCGTTCGACTAAACTGCTCGGCTCACTGGTTTTCAATCTATATTTTTTAGTTATGCCTAAAATATCCTCCTCACTTCAAAATTTTTATTTGCTGCTCAAAAAAAAAAAATCTTCCCAAAAAAAAATAAAAACACACAAAATTATTAAGTGATTAAAAAACTCATGGCTTTTGGAAATTCAATTGTCCTATCTTTATACTTTTATGTCTTTGTCATAACATGGCATTACAATAAACAGGTTATCGTTTCTGTGTGAGTGAAAACATGGCATTATAACAAATTGATTATGCCACACCATTTTCGATAAATTAGTCAACTCAACGATAACAGTTTTTTTTCTGTTTCCATCGATTAATCGTATGCCCAATATATCGTTCAAGTGTCAAAATTTATTTCTACGTCGTTTCGTGCGTTCATTCGTCCCCACACACAAAAAAAATATTTGCGAATTATTAAAATATTTATTTAACCGATTAAGATGTAATTAAAATACAAAGTAAAACAACCTACAAAAATAAATTGCAATATATTTAAATAAATGTGAACAATCGGAAAGAAGAGGAAATTATAACGAAATCTCTAGCAAGAAAACAAAAAATCCAATTAGAAAGTGTCCAAGCCCATCGGAAAGAAAGAAACGAAAAAAAATAACAAGAGCATGAAGTGGTATTTAACAAAATAAAAGGTGTGTGTGTGTTTGAGATTTGTCAAAGTGGGAGAGTGCGAGCGATGTGTGTTTGTGCATGCATGATAAATGCAGTAACAATAACAAAATGCAACAACATCAATAATAGTAATGAATAAATTCAACTAAATTTTTGTTATATTTTTTTCCTACAACATAGTGGAAGATCCCATCTCTTTGTGAATAAAAAAAGCAAAACAAACAAAAAATACGAGAGAAAGAGAAGGAGAGAGAGGAGAGACACAACCAACAAATAAAAGGAATGTTCCTTTGCAAAATATTTAATGGATACCATCATTGAGGCTTGTTGTTGTTGTTTTCCAATTAAAGGCAGTTACTTCCTAAAGATTGTTTAATTTGGAATAATTTTTTAATATTGAAACGAATATATCGCACAAAAGGTAAGTTTGCTGGAAAATATTTCTTTTAATTATTTGTCATCATCATTTTAATTTTTTGTTTTAGTGAAATAAATAATATTGTATTAATTATCACAAAAACCATGGTGCCTTGTGGGTTCATCTGATTGTGTTGATGATGCTGCTCCCCTTTCTTCTCTTGCACAAACACATGCACACACTTCCTCCATAATTTGCCTAAGGGCCACCATGAACTCCATATAAAAACCATTGACCGACCCATTCACTTATTTTTCTATTTCTTTCCTCCTAAACAATACCAATAATAACAACAACAAAAGCAAGCATTGTAATCATAACAACAACAATAACAATATAAATGTTGCTCCCCCACACACGTCCAAAAAAAAAAAAAAAAAAAGAGCAACACCTTAAGGTTGCTCCGACAGTTTATTTATTGTTTGGTACCTACTGGTGGTATAGGTCTTGGTATTTTTGCTTGTATTGTTGTTGTTTTCGTCGATTGCTGGTGTGGGTTTTTTTTTTTTTTGTTTCAATAAATAAATATTTTGCTGCGGTGTGAATGCGTGTTTGTGTTCATGTGCGCCATTAATATGAAATTAAGGTTTATTGATGAATAGTGAACACTCGTCGTAATTTGTTTCTTCTTCTTCGTCGTCGTCGTCATGTGGGAGACATGGATGCACCTTGCATAAAAAATTATATTGAAATTTTGATTTCAATTTGAATGTTTCGTTTATAAAAGCGTAAAAAACAACTATTTTTGAAACCTGATATTCCAGAAATTAAAAAATAAAAAAAACATTCACTTTCGTTTTGTTTTTGGACTCCCCTTGGATGGAGAGAGGCATTTGAAATATTCAATAATAATTGACAAAAAGCTGAGATTTGTCATCTCAAAAGATTTCAAAGAAAATCGGAATGTGGAAGATGTTGATACCATGTAGATATCGGATATAAGCACATCTCATATAAGAAAAAATCGCATATATGAAAGATTATCAAAAACAACGAGCTTATACTTTCTTATATCCGATAATTCCATATAAAAAAAGCATATAAGAAAGAAATCTCCGGCTTTTTTGAGTTTCTTATATCCGATATCTACTGTAGCATGTAGGAACGTCGTTGGCTTCGAACGGGCTGAAGTTTTTTACGTCCTGGCATCTGAGGAGGTTATTCAAAATAACCTGGAACTATATTTTAAATTACTTGCCACATGTTTTTTATCCACTGAGAAAATGAAATAGCAAATCACAGGGGAATATTAATAGGAAGCAATGACAATATATGGGTCTAGGACCATAAAAATAGCTAAAATGAGGCGAAACATGGACTTATATTTATAGGCCTTTTGTAAGTATACATGAAACGATATCTATATACAGTAGATATCGGATATAAGAAACTCAAAAAAAGCCGGAGATTTCTTTCTTATATGCGTTTTTTTCTTATATGGAATTATCGGATATAAGAAAGTATAAGCTCGGCGTTTTTGATAATCTTTCTTATATGCGATTTTTTCTTATATGAGATGTGCTTATATCCGATATCTACTGTAGGGAGCTATGTTAAAACTTTGTCTTATATAGAACATTGTAAAGTTTTTTATCCGCTGGGAATGCCGAAAGCCAAAGTAAAGCCATATCGCTTAGAAAATACTTCTAGGGCCATAAAAATATATAAAATTTAGCGGGACCTTTATATGGGGCTGTATCAAAATATGCACAAATATCTACGAATACGTTTTTAATGAGGTTAGAAGCAGAACCTTAAAATGGGGGCTATGTCGCAACATGGATTCATATTGACATTTTTCTTTGAAGATTTTTTTCAGCTAGAACTCTTCACATCCTCGACAGTTGTATCGAAGTTTTATGAATGGGATGATAAATTTCAAGTTTCCTTCTTTATGTCTCGTCAGAAAGACTTCATTCAGTCTTTGGTCATTGACATGCAGTGGTCGAGCAGCTTATCCTTTAGGTTCGAAGTTAGAACCCCCCTTCATCACACTGTGGTATATATATATATATATTTGTCCGATTTTAAATAAATGGTCCACCAAAGACCCAAAGTTAGGACCATTGATACAAAATTTTGCTCAGCGTACTAAATTAGGACCACATTGATGTGTGAGAAGTTTTGTTGAAATCGGTTCAGATTTAGATATAGTTCCCATATTAAGTTTCTTCAGATTTCAAGTAAATGGTGCACCAAAGACCCAAAGTTAGGATCATTGACATTGACTGAATTAG